ACAGGTCAGTGGCACAGAAATTCAATTTGGATAAATAATTTACAACGTACTTAATTTTCCCGATTTTTCACTACATTTACTATTAGCTTTGAATACATACACTGTACAACCGTCTTAAGTGTAACGTTATATATTTTTGTTCCATAGGCCAGAGGGACGAGTTCCCAAATGAAGATGATTTCGGACAGAAGTTTCTCGGCGTGCAGGAAGGAGGGACCTTGGAACTCCATGGTGCAGATAAGATTGCTTGGACAAAACTGGCACAGACGGTAGAAAAGTTGGACGATTCCAGCGGCCTTATATTCAACCATGATGTAAGTTTCGTACGAAACTAATGTAGGCGTAGTTCGTTGGCCTTGTGTTAATTGGATATGGTATCTGCGAAAAGTACATGTATATAGAACTGCCGCTTCGTGAAGTATTAAGTGGTATTTTATTGAATTACAGTGGACAGGTTTTGAAAAATGGCAATTTGAAGTGCGGAGTTTTTATTTTTTTTTCGACCATTTGATATATCGCATTGGCTCGTCTTCTTTGCTTTGATGTTTAAGTTTCACCATGTTCATTTATCTAACAGGAGAGCGATAATTGGGACAAGAGAATGCCCGGGCTGTATGTGTATGTGATGAACCCCAGAACAGGACTGCCAGTGCGCAGCAAGCAGTTCCGGTACACAAACAGGAGGAAAATGGAACAGGAACTTCCAACTTTCTTACGAAGTAAGATCACGCTATTCTCCTATACTTTGACCACAGGATCCGCTAGTAGTATTTTAGTAAGTTATTGTATCCAGCCTATTCTTTTTGTACACTATTTAAGTGTCCCCGGATATTAAAAGGTACCTTGTGTACTTTAGTTACATACATGTATGAATGCCCATGTCACTATGGTAAGAATCACTATGGTAAGAATCCAGAGATGCATTTGTAAGATGCGTTACTTTGGGAATACACCTCTCTAAATTCAGATAAGCCAACTCGTTTCATTTTTTTCCCCAAAAAACTCTCCCTAAACAAGGACAGGTATCTCTCAAATCCAAATTAACAGTCTTCATATTCGTATTTATTGTTGCGTATTTTTGAGTTTAATTTTAGCCTTCAGCTGCATGAGTCGCTGCATTGTTGTGTGGGTTTCCGTAATAAATAATAGGATAATTCATACGTTTATACTTAGTTGATCTGAATGCAAGGAGTTGACAGATAAGTGATCTTGTTGATTTTCTAGCAAGTATGCTTACGACAGTGATTTCCGGGCGACTTTCGTAAACATCTTATATATGCAGTTAAGCTGGTTGCATTAGCTAACATACCGTGTCAAGAAGGCCATTATCGAAGAACGCCCTAAATATTGGTTATAGGCAATACATTTTGTATTACATACAGGTCTACTGAGTAGAATATTGCACAATAACTGGTATAGTCAAGAAGATGACTCGCCTGGCAATAACCCCAGCAATGTCATAGTCAAAAAGAAACTTAAGGGTTTTAATTACATATAAATATATACATGTACCTACAGCAGAGCCTGTGATTTTGCACTATTCTCGAGAGGCATAACTATCATGAAGGGAAAATTTGATCTTTTTTGCCATGATAATGTAAAATTGATCTTAAGCTTCCAAACGGCGCCTTTTTTCTCTTAAAATGAAATGAAATGAAAAACCTTGTGCGTCACCACAATCAGATATGGTAATGTCTAAAAAGAAAGAAAGAAAGAAAGAAAGAAAGAAGAAAGTCAGCATGGAATATTTTAATAGAAAATAAATCTATTGAGTTTTGATAAGGTTCAAAATAGTGATGTTTCAAAATTTCAATCTGTATTCAAAACGCCATTTTAGATATCAGAGATGGCATGGTCGTTATGATGGCTTCAAGACGCATTCTGTTCGACGTGAGCCTCGGTTTCAATCTGACCTCTGCACTGGAAGGGTTGAACGATCTTGGAGCCGAACACGTGGAGGAATACAACTTGGGAGACGCATGGTGCATGATTGCCGTAAAAGGTAGGTGTACGTGATTGCTGTTAAAGGTAGGCGCACTTGACTGCCGTAAAAGGCAAGTGTACAGACCTAAAGAACATTACTTGTTACATGTGTNCCGGCTAATTCATGACACGATTCTGCGTCCCTGGTAGAGGGTTAAACAAGTTAAGTTTAGAGCTAAGGTGCCTGACGTACAGTATCCATGCAAGATGGTTTAATGGTTACAGAGGAATTGTTTTTCGAATGTGACATCATCTTTTGCTTTATTTTCGATGTACGTTATCCAGAAATGGCTGAAAATACGGCATGTGCACATACTTTGTTGAGATATTAGTGTTATGGTGGTCGTTCCTATTTTAATCAAACATTATCAAACATTAAAATGTTTGATAATTGTTCTTTGCATTTTTCGCCTTTGCGCAATATCTAGTTGATGGCCCTTTTTACAATTATTGATGTTTTCATCATTAGAATCCAAGTTAGATTTCCGATCTTTTCAGTTTCCAAATGGGGCTTCCGGCAGGAATTTGCTATAATCCGTTTATAAATAACCTGGCAATATGTAATCAAAATCGATATTCTAACAGCCCGGGGCTAATCGTCCGGTTTGTATGCTTCCCGGGGAATCAAGATGCACTGGCGACAAGTCTGAAGCGCATGTAAATGAAAGCCTACCTCAAAACTTCTCCTTTTTACGTCGATTTCTTCTTAATTTTGAAAAGGAAGACACCCATATTTTGTATGTCATTTCAACATACAGTCATTTATTTATTTATTTATTTATTTATTTATTTATTAAAACCAGCTGATCTGGCCCATCGACACATCTGTATGATAACCGCCACACTGTTCGACACTCTATAAGACACTATTTTAAAATATCCTCGTGCTAAAAATGATGGAACATTTGAAAAATAGATATATAATTATTACTTCAACATTCACATTGTGATAGTTGTCACAAAACTTTTGATATATCTGACTGTAGCAATTTACCAATTAACAATTTTCAAATTATGAAAGTGGACAAAAATTACTTGAGTATTATTTAATAGGTAGTTAAAGTTGTGTGCCCCGTGTAACAGAACTGAGCAGCATTGCAGGCCACGTATAGGCCTACACTAATGGCCCAGCAATTTTATAAAGGGTGACAATGCTTCATCCTTAGGCTCAAGGGAGAGCTTGGTGACTTTTGAAGATGTGGTATTTTCAGCACAAACGAAAAAACGCGCGTTAGTATCAACCAGGGAACTGTCAGTAAGATCATCCAGCAATTACACCGTACAAAATAAAATATGCGACCAAGCATTATCACTGGTCGTCAAAGTAAAAATACAGCCAGGTAAGATCGTATCCTCTTCAGATATGTCGTCAAAAGAGAAAATTGTCAGGATCTTTTCTGGGGGACAGAAACCGAGTTTGTAGTGGAATCCTCATTGGTGGCCTTGGCCAAAGAGAATTCCCCCCCCCCCCCCCAAAAAAAAAAAAAATCCATTATGACCGAACCGAGGAAAAATGACCCCTTCAACCTAATTGCAAGGAAATGCGTAAAGAGAGATTCCGCCGGGGTGTTGTTTGCATACTCAATGTTTCATGGCCATTTCGAGAGAGGTTTGCTGAAGACTGGGGATGGTCATATCAAAATGGGCTGCCATTCAAATTGGAAGTCGAACCAACCCAGTGTTTCTCAGAGAAAGCGTACGTGCCGACATCTGCAAGGCAATACATGTAGATGGTGCCATATACTAGTCCCTACTCTGGTCGTAACAATCTGTTCCAACGTGGCTATGCTCAACCTCATCCTGCTCGTTTTATGAGTTTAGCATGCTTGGTAAAATTTTACTGCCATTGGTTATCCTTGTTTTTATTTTATTTCATTTCATTTCATTTTATTTTATTTTATTTTATTTTATTTGTAACATGGTCTGCACGAACAGAGCTTGACCCCCCTGATCGTATTTAATACGTCAACTCATGCGTTTGCCACAAGGACGAACTGCACACATGCCAGTATGTCATACGTGGTGACATTTGTCTTAATTATGGATGTCACTTTGTTATTCACCTGTAAGTTGGACATTGATCCAGCAGAGTTCATTCCAAATCATCTTTGAAACGTGTGCACTGCTTGCCCTAGGTTCTGCGTCTATATCAGCAGTTAGAGTTTGCTTTAAGGACTCGAGGGGAAATAAGCGTTTACTGAGATGGAACAGCGTTAACACGATCACTCTGCAACCTACTCGGCTTACGCTTCTACCTTTCTAGCAGAAACAAAAATTGGTTGGCCTATTTTGTAACGGCTAGAAGGGCCTCTGATCGAGAGTATCTGCAAATCGTAGTGTCCCTGCGCATCGACAATCACAAAATGTTTGAAGAAATTTAAACCCCAAAATTCACTTAATCAAAAACACAACCCATAATCTTGTAAACTAACTAAAGGGGCTCTCTCGTTGTCTTCCCTGTTTAACGGCATATCGCCCTTACTGCAAATTTACATCATCACTGGTTGCACAACTACGTATGCAAATCAGTCGTTGAAAGTAACTCTTAATACTAGTTTCAGTCACATAGAATTCCCCTTATTATAAAATCTACGATTCAACAATGGTTCTACTGGTAAAATGAAAGTGTTATTACTCTAAAGCCAGCATGCTACATGAAATAAATCTTAGAGGTTATTTTGCTTAGTACTCTATGCAGAATATGGTTCTTGCTTATCAACAAGACAGAGCGGTGTGGCAACCCTTTAATATGATATCTCCTCTCTCTCTCTCTCTCTCTCTCATATATAAATTTAGTGAACCTTGAACACTTATTAAAATCACTCCCGTTGCAAACGTCAACGTGACGGCTCCACCTCCCGCATGGTTATGTCTTACATAAGTGTCATCGCCAAATCAAGCAAACTGACGAAGATACTGGTGACAATCGGTTAACTCACGAATAATTCATCAACCAGGTAACACTTGGTCTTGACTGTTACGGTTCTCAGAATCTCAAAACTATTTGGTAAACCGGCATGGTGCACGGACGGCTGCTCATGTCGATGGCAAGGAGAGTTTTCGCCGTTTTCTTGCTACTATTGCTATATTGTTCCGGCGTGAATGCTGTGACTTGCCCCTGGGAGAGAGAGGGTTTGAAACCATGGAGTGAGGCAGCGTCATGGGAAACCAACCAGGTGCGTTTTTTTCTTGAGAATAGGAACTCTGTTGATTTTTTTTTTACTGAACTTGTCTTGTCTTTACTTTTATGCCTAAGACTGTATTATTTTCATATTCAGGATCAAAGTCCAATTAACTAAGAATATTGGACATTTTTCATAAAAAGCAACGGATGGCCAAAATCTTAGCCCTGCAGTCACTTTTGTCTTATAGACCAAATTATCTCAGGCCACCGTTTCACCAAAAATCTTAAATCTTTATCAAAGCATTATAAAAGTCTACTACACAGTGGCTAACTAAGAGTGGTTCACAAAGAATCTTTTATTTTATTTTGGTGACTTTCGATAGTTAACAAGCTCGCGCGCTCCAAAAACCTTTGAAAAATAGGAGGTGGAATAGTCCCAGATGTGACGATTGATGGCGTCTCTCGGTCGTGACAACAATTATATCAGGCAAAACATAAACAAATGAGTTCAATTTTGATACAATTTAATTCAATTTTATAATCAGCCAAAAAACTTTTCTTTATATTTTTGTGAAACATGGGCCAGATCTTATACTAATATCCCGTCATAATTGGTCTTATCGTTGAATCCAACTTTCACTTTAAATTCTTCCCTGAAACGGCGCCCTTATGTAGATATATCCATGGCTATTAATTGGTACAAAGATGCTCATAAAAATATTGCAGTTTCGACCGTCATTAAACTGTGTGTTCATGTATGTCTTTCGTTCCTTACGATAACAATTACCAGAAATTTTGATTTTTTGAACTAATGAAACTTTTTCTATTTGCTTGGTAAATCTATATTTCCCCAAATTTAGTTAAAAAATACATATGTTGATCGATAGGTTTATGCTGGAAAATATCGTCTTTTACCAAAGTGTTTTCTAATCCTCCGGTAAAATATACCAACAGCATATGAATATGTATGGGACTTTGGAATTTTTCAAAATTCCATTGGCCCTACTAAAACGATTTATAAAAATATCATTTTTACAAACTAAAATACTATTAAAACACAAACTTTTCAAATAGAAATAACATTAAAAAGTCTACTTCTTCATAGATATTCATTCTAAAATATAGAATCAGGGTTCGATTAAATTCATGTAACATATGAAGAATATCTTTTCTTCTTCAAATCAGGAATGTCATTATGCCATCAAATGGCAATATGTCTCAATATTCCAGGTTCCTCGAACAGGGGATGTCGTAGAAATAGTGGATGATATCCTTTTAGACTACTCCCCACCAAAAATGTCAGAGGTTCACATTGTAAACGGTGCGCGTCTTATCTGGGACGCACAAGAAGGAAGTCGCATTGAGTTAGAGGCTGGGCGTATCCATATTAGTTATGGCGGCGCTCTTGAAATCGGTGGCAGTGAACCCGAGTGCCGGTATCCAGCTTTCAGCAAAGCCATTATCACGCTGACTGGTAGGTCGTTTTCCTTCTGTGAGCAATCAGTTGTTGTCTATCTCTCTTCGTGTGATATGTTTGCAATTTCCCAGTTTTAGAGGTATGTATGTACATGTAGGTGTGATGAACTTGCAGTCTTTGGGATGAGGGTCAGTTTCAAGATAAAAGTCTTAATTGTTTATTCAGTTCAGTGACCATGCCTACAGGTCAGAGGCACAGAAATTCAATTTGGATAAATAATTTAAAACGTACTCGAATTGAAACTTTATTTCCCCGATTTTTCACTACATTTACTATTAGCTTTGAATACATATACTGTACAACCGTCCTAAGTGTAACGTTATATATTTCTGTTCCATAGGCCAGAGGGACGAGTTCCCAAATGAAGATGATTTCGGACAGAAGTTTCTCGGCGTGCAGGAAGGAGGGACATTGGAACTCCATGGTGCGGATAAGATTGCTTGGACAAAACTGGCACAAACGGTAGAAAAGTTGGACGATTCCAGCGGCCTTATTTTCAACCATGATGTAAGTTTCGTATGAAACTAATGTAGGAGTAGTTCGTTGGCCTTGTGTTAATTGGATATGGTATCTGCGAAAAGTACATGTATATAGAACTGCCGCTTCGTGAAGTATTATGTGGTATTTTATTGAATTACAGCGGACAGATTTTGAAAAATGGCAATTTGAAGTGCGGGGTTTTCTTTTTTCGTCCATTTCGTATATCAGTTTCAGAATAATGTATTTTTAATCAGATCAAACCAAACTTGTTTGCATTGGCTCGTCATCTTTGCTTTGATGTATAAGTTTCGCCATGTCAATTTATTTAACAGGAGAGCGATAATTGGGACAAGAGAATGCCCGGGCTGTATGTGTATGTGATGAACCCCAGAACAGGACTGCCAGTGCGCAGCAAACAGTTCCGGTACAGGAACAAGAGGAAAATGGAATTGGAACTTCCAGCTTTCTTACGAAGTAAGATCACTCTATTCTCCAATACTCTGACCACAGGATCCGCTAGTAGTATTTTACGAAATTATTGTATCCAGCCTATGCTTTTTGTACATTATTTTAGTGTCCCCGGATATTAGAAGGTGCCGTGCGTGCTTTAGTTACATACATGTATGAATGCCCTTGCCACTATGGTAAGAATCACAATGGTAAGAATCCAGAGATTCATTAGTAAGATGCGTTACTTTGAGAATACACCTTACTATAATTTCAGATAATCCAACCCATTTCTCTTTTTCCCCAAAACTCTGCCTACACAAGTACACGTACATGTAGCTCACAAATCCAAATTAAAAGTCTTCATATTCGTATTTCTTATTGCGTATTTCTGAGTTTAATTTTAGCCTTCAACTGCTTGAGTCGCTGCATTTTTGTGTGGGTTTCCGTAATAAATAACAGAATAATTCATCCGTATATACGTAGTTGAGCTGAATGCATGGCGTTGACAGATTAGTGATCTTGTTGATTTTCTAGCAAGTATGCTTACGACAGTGATTTCGGGGCGGTTTTCGTAAACATCTTATATATGCGGTTAAGCTGGTTGCATTAGCTAACATACTGTGTCAAGAAGGCCATTATCGAAGAACGCCCTAAATATTGGTTATAGGCAATACATTTTGCATTACATACAGGTCTACTGAGTAGAGTATTGCACAATAACTGGTATAGTCAAGAAGATGACTCGCCTGGCAATAACCCCAGCAATGTCATAGTCATACCTACAGCAGAGCCTGTGATTTTGTACTATTCTCGAGAGGCATAAATATCATGAAGGGAAATTTTTATCTTTTTTGCCATGATAATGTAAAATTGATCTTAAGCGTCCAAACGGCGTCTATTTACTCTTAAAATGAAATGAAATAAAAAAACCTGTGCGTCACCACAATTAAATATGGTAATGTCTAAAGAGAAAGAAAGAAAGAAGAAAGTTAGCATGGAATATTTTAATAGAAAATAGATCTGTTGAGTTTTTATGAGGTTCAAAATAGTGATGTTTCAAAATTTCAATTTGTATTCAAAACGCCATTTTAGATATCAGAGATGGCATGGTCGTTATGATGGCTTCAAGACGCATTCTGTTCGACGTGAGCCTCGGTTTCAATCTGACCTCTGCACTGGAAGGGTTGAACGATCTTGGAGCCGAACACGTGGAGGAATACAACTTGGGAGACGCATGGTGCATGATTGCCGTTAAAGGTAGGCGCACTTGACTGCCGTAAAAGGCAAGTGTACAGACCTGAAGAACATTACGTGTTTCATGTGTACCTCCGCCAAGGAGGTTATGTTTTCACCCCTGTTTGTCTGCCTGTTTGTTTGTTTGTTTGTTTGTCATCAACATAACTCAAAAAGTTATGGACCGATTTTGATGAAATTTTCAGAAACTGTCAGAAGTGGGCCAAGGAAGAGATGATTAGTTTTTGGTGGTGATCCGGATCGATAATCAATCAATAATCAACAATAATAATAAATTGATGCCTTGGCGGAGGTCTGCGCTTTTGGAGTGCTTTTCTAGTTAAGTCTGTCAAAATTCTACTTTAGCGTGACAAAATTGGTATCATGCGCAATACTTTCCCTTTTGTGCAAAAATTGTAAAATAGATGCCTGATAACAATAATAATAATAATAATAAAATTATTTATTCTTATTTATAATCTAAAATCCATTAAAAATGTTCAGTAGACTTTACAGAAAAAGATGTAATATGATGTAATAAGGCTTTGATTAGATATGTGTCATATGGAAGGAGGCTTCATTTAATGTCTTCAAACCTCCCTTATATGTTTTACATTTCATAAAAACGCCACAGATAATCGTTTTTGTTTACAGTCAGCAATATTTAGACCAACAATGTACAGATTAAATCATATACCATATTATGAACAGGAATTCCAAACATTTCTCAAGAAGCACGATCAAGCGTAAAAGGTTTTCTCTACACGGAAACCTGGCTCGTCACGCTAGAACACGAGGGATTTTACTACCAAGTTCAAAGCGGAGTCGCGCTGTCCCACGCATCCCCTGGTGCTGAGAACTACGTTCGTTTCCGCGTCTTGGATCGGGTTGTGACGCCCATCATCACTGTAATTGATGACGTCACTAGTTGGGAGGCAGGTACGTGCACGTGTTTGTTATCAAAACGTCATTTCCTGTCTGTAGATTCCCAATAAATGTATTTACATTTAGCCTACGACATCTGCTTGGTCTGGTACCACTCACCAGAAAACTTCAAAATCAATATGAAAAGAAGCATTGTTGATTTCTCTCGTTATCCCTAGAAAGCAGAAATCAGGGTACAATAACGAAATAAGCAAACTTTATCGCCAATGGGCCTTCAATCACCACAAATAAACAGGACATCAATGGGATTTTTAAATAGAATACAACTACACAACGTAACAGTAAGGTGAAAAACGCGCCGGTTTAATGAACCAGATGTACCATGGCACGGCTTTTAAATATGTACTTTTATGTCTTATCCTAGGTGACAGAATAGTCGTGACTTCTACGGATTACGCATGGACGCAAGCAGAGGAGAGGAACCTGCTGAGGTGTGACGAATGTAATGCCAATCAGGTGAAACTTGACAGTAAGGACGAGTCTTTATTTATCTCTTTAATTGTGACACGGAAAGCGCTCACAAATTAAGCCATATATTTTAGGTCTTGTACGCTTTGATCCTTTCAGCCAACCAAATTTGACGATTTTTAAAACATGTTTTGACAAAAAATCTTCATCTTATCAAATTCTCACAAACCATCTTGCTGGTACACTGTACATGTTCTCTTATGTTCTTTTTTCTTATATCTAATTACCTTAAAACCCTAGTTTAATGCGTCTCTTTATGAAATTTTCAACATAAAATTCGGCCTTTTCACAACCTATCAGAGGAGCTGTTTTACACGCACTGGGGTGAGGTGATCGAAAACGTGGACATGCGGGCGGAGGTCTTGGTGCTGACCCGGAATGTGGTCGTCCGCGGGGAAGTACAAGACGCTTGCTATGGTGACAACCTCTGCGATAGATTCGAATTAGACACGTGGGGAGGTCACATTAAGGTTGGTGTCATTATAGACGCTTAAACACTTTAATTTCTACATTTACTTGAGATGTACCTAAACAAAGCTTTCGATCTGTTTGAGACTGTTTTAATTATAAAAAGACTGATGAATTTCCATAAAAAAGTTGATATCAGTTAGTAACAACCGTATTTGAGTGCTATTGATAACCGTACTTGTATATGCCAGTAGCTCTAAACGAGATAGACTATGTTTTAGAAAAAAATTATATTCGACCAAAATTTTGATATAAAAGTTTTTGCTGGAGGTGTAGACCATTATGCTGCTAAAAATACTGTCGCTTTCATTATTCCATATCAATGCAGATGCAGGACAGGTTTAAAGCGTGCAAAATAGAGGGCGTGGAGCTGTGCCATCTCGGTCAACAAGTCTACGAAGGTAAACTGCGTGTTAGCCTTTAAACTATAACACGTGTTCCAGCACAAGCAGGTGCCCTTGACCTTGTCATGCACAACCGTGGAAGGGAAATGGTCTAAATTTGGCTGTGACAAAAACATAAAGAATTTAGAGTCAGATCAGATAGGAAACCTAAGCTAAAATGTTGAAATATCCAGGAGATTATTTATTTATTTCCATTCATTTATTTATTTATCTTTCATCGTAGTATAAGATATAGTGATTGGTCACTCTTTCGTATTAGTTTTTGCATAACTGTTTCGTTACGTAAAGGTAAAATTACAATGTATATCCCCTTTTGCGTAAAATAGAAAGCAAAAATGTTTCCCAAAGCGCATGATATCATTTAAAATGTGAATCTGCTACGTCATAAACAGTGGCTGAATTCCTCTCCACAACGAACATGAACAATTATTTCTTACGATTAAGTTGCCTTTTAAAATTCACGGATCCCTCTGTTAATCAAGGTTATCTGTATTGGCACTTCTCCTGCTTCCAGGTTCGTACCCCATCCATTTCCACATGGTTAAGAACGTCAGTGACTATGCCAGTGACACTGTGATCCGCCAGAATTCCATCCACCACTCCTACTCCAGATGTACCACCTTGCACATGACACACGGCCTCAAGGTAGGTGGTCAGCGCTACCCTTACTTCTGCCAGGACCACAGTGAGGTGGATTTCACTAGATATTCATAGATATTTCTATGGCTAATTTTGTGCATATTTCTTGCACAGAAATGGCGTCATCCCCCAGCTGGTATCTGGTAGAGAGGGTCTTTGATACTCATTATATAGAGCCCTACTGCTAATCCTAACGTTGTTCCAAGTTTTAAACGGCATTCATGTATTTTTGGCAGTGCATTTATTTGTGTAAATGCTTTAAACTGGGGTGATAAATACACTTTTGTTTTACAAAGTTTTTATCAAATTAGTAGATTTAACCAAACTGGCTGCTTATTTTCAATAAAAAAACAGCCTAAATACATCTTTGAATACATTTTTTCCTTTGTGTGTGTCTGTGTGTGTGTGTGTGTGTGTGTGTGTGACAAAATACGGAATCTCTACAGCTAGATATATTATGTTAATAGGACATCGTGCACTTTATATTTTAAAGATTTACGACAACGCTGCCTATCTGCACATAGGGCACTGTTATTTCTTGGAGGACGGAGGAGAGAAGGGCATTGAATTTGACGGTAACATAGGGCTTGGGACGTTGTCCGGAACAATTCTTCCATCCGACAGAATGTAAGTATTATACTGACGTATACGACGAGTTGGAATTTTCAAACGTTTGTTAACTGACTTACTAGCATACAAATACAGGAGTATTTAAATCTTATCACTCCGTACCGATCATGTATTTACTTGTTTTTGTCACATTGTCTTTTTCGTGATTACCACAATTTTCCATTCTAATTTGTCATTCAACCATTTAAAAATCCCTTATAAGGCAATATCTGCAAGCTTCCAATTAAAATATAAAATATTAACTGCAAATCATCATACGTTTGTTATGCACGTGATAGAAAATTACATTTTGATTGTGAAATTAACCAGTCAAATAAAACTAAATGTGTCTTTGACGTTTTCCGTCCCTGCCTAATGCGATACAATTTTACCACTTGTTGGCCTTTAAGGCAAACTTGCACTCAATAGTTTGCTGGGCTTTACTGATTTGATTTTACTTTACTTATTTGCTTGCAATTAATAAAGGCGCAAGCCATTTACTTTACAACATAAGTTATCAAGAGTAAAACCTTTTTTTTTCGTTTTTGCTTCTGCTTAAGCATCGTACATTATTAGAACATTTCAATCAACTTTATAGAACACTCCCCGCTCTAAACTCATTTACGGCTGTCGGTTACTATGGTTACACGTACATGTATACAGTAAATATAAAACACGAACTTCCTATTTACAATATTTCTTCAAATTTATGCACGATGTCTTACTAAACGTAAGGCGTATAGTTAATTAACAAGTCAGTGCTTTCCGGAACGGTCTTTTTAATATCATATTTATGTTTTATCGCTTTCAGACCATCTACCTTCTGGATAACGAGTCCTCTTTCTTTTCTGCGCAACAACGTCGCTGCTGGATCAGATGTACGCACCTGATGTGGATTACAGTAGAATTTTATATAATTTGTATATATTTTACCAAGAAATAGATTGTCTCTAGAAAAAAAAGGCTATTTTCTTCCACTCACGAATCACTGCTCAACCGTTCCTGCACCTAGATTCAATGTTTTATTCCATTTCTAATTAAATATATCGGTTCTTAATGACTGGCCACTTATCTAGATTGCCAAATCTTCTCGTATATTTCACAAGGGAATATGGTCATCGGGTATTTTAATTTGTCAAATTGAGGGGATTTACCGTTGTCAGGGTCTAAATTGGGGAATATGAGTAGCTTTTCAGCAGAAGCAAAAATATTAGTTTTGGACATTTTCAAACGCGGTTAATATACTATCATCAGCTTTCCCCGTAAATGTTGACCTGCTGTCACTGTTCAAGATTCGTTCCCTCTGAATTTTAGGAAGCGTCTCACAACTTTCACACTTAATGTAGACTAATATTAATTTAACATATAACACAAACAATTACAATGTGCAGACAATGACAAATGCGTGACTGTTTTTAAGAATTTACCTAAATGTGTGCTTGTGTGTGTGTGTGTGTGTATGTGTGTGTGTGTGTGTGTGTGCGTGCGCGCGCGCGTACGTGTATATATTGTCTGTGTATGTCCGTATGTATGTGCGTGTGCCTGTGTGGGTGTGTGTGCCTGTGTGTGTGTGTGTGTGTGTGTGTGTGTGTGTGTGTACATTTTACACATTCAACACACAATATCTACTGCTTTTTAAATATAAGTAATTGAATTTAATTATTATATTTTTGTCACAGGGTCGCGGCATAATGTACGTGTTCCCTGTCGAGCCGAGAGCAGAGTCCCAAGCCTGGGGATTGTTGGAACTGGGAGAGGCTGCACGCACACCAATACACCAGTTTGAAAACAATGTGGCTCACTCGAACAGAAGGGTAAGAGAACCACTGTGTAAATGACAGCCAAAAATGATGTAGAAACTGGTAATTAATTAATTGGTGGATGCCAGGTTTTTGCTAAAGGGGAGAAGGAGCACAAGGGTATTTTTTAGTCGGTATTCAAATATAGAATAGTCCTCGAGGACAATTTAACTGTAATATGTAGGCCACAGAGATGGACAAATCTGTTTTAAACGTTTTTAACATGGAAAAGGGTGAGGAAGGGTTCCTTCAAAGCTAAAAGAGGGAGGGGGGTACTTTGCCCTCTGCGCCATCCCCTGTATCCGCAATTGTCATATTGTACTTTGGGAAATTTTAGATAACGCGACTGCATATTTATGGACATACAGTGTACATCCCGTCAGCAATTCACTCCCTTAATACCTTTAAACATATGATTATTAACAAGCATTTCTTGACCAATACCTTTAGGCCGGACTGTGGCTGGACAACATACTCGGACAAGATGGTGAAGTGCTTCGCCGAGGCAACAGCTACAAGCCACAAGTCCAGTTTCCTAACGGGACGGTAGCTCCTAAAGAGGTCATCCTATCTCGGTACACTGGCTACAAGAACATGGTGCAGAACGCCTGGCTGCGAGGCTCTCCCGTTACCATGGAGAAGAGCTCGTGAGTGATGGGGCTCATTTCCAATGAAACTTTTGTTCTCCGTAGATCGATCCAACTCTGGGGGGACTCTCACTAAATGCAATCAGATTAACAGATTAATACCCCCCCCCCATCCTGGTACATGTAGGAGACAGAAAAGCTGGTAATTGTGGGAGTTAAAAACAAGAGGAGGCTGCTAATCTCTAAATGTGATTGCATTCAGCGATAGTACATTGTACCTGCGGAGATGGATCACACTAAGTAGAACGACAGTTTCTTTAGGAATGAGCTCATAATCATTCTCAAAATTGTGTTGGTGAGGATAGGTTTGCAACAATAAGTATCCCCATGTAGTTGAATTTATTACTTCCGCCAAGGAGGTTATGTTTTCACCCCTGTTTGTCTGTTTGTCCGTCTGTCATCAACATAACTCAAAAAGTTATGGATCGATTTTGATGAAATTTTCAGGAACTGTCAGAAGCGTGCCAAGGCAGAGATGATAGTTTTTGGTGGTGATCCGGTTCAATAATCAATCAAAAATCAATAATAATAAAAAATTGCTGCCTTGGCGGAGGTCTGCGCTCTCGGAGTGCTTTTTTAGTTTGTAAATAATGTCATCGCAAGAGTTGAAATAAAGAATCCCAATAGCTTGACTAGTATGCATGCATGATTACACTATTATATGATACTTTTAATTTTAATACCTTTGTTTTATTTTTTATTAAAATTAATCTTTGCATCTTTAGTATTGTGGCTGTTTCATATGCGCTTATTCTGGTGAATTGTTTTAATTATGATGTTACTAGCGAAAATTTGCATTCCTTATATCTTTTTTTTAATCAAAGTTAAAAAAGGATAAATTAGAAGGCAATCAGTCATTAAAGCTGACACAACCGTTTTTAGTGTTTTACTTATGAGATAACATGTTTCGATTCCCGTTAGTTTCATTATAACCAAACAACATCAGTTAATCTTAGGAGAGTTAATTTAATCCGATTCTTCAGGTTCTCTGACAGTCCATTAGGAGTGACGTTTTCAATGTGAGTACTGCGAGCATCCCTATTTGTTGAAACTTGTGTTAATATCTATATATTTTTATAAAAGTAAACCATTCTTAACTTATTTTGCGTCTCATGTTGTGAGCCACCATGTACAATTTTGTTGTTAAATGCGATTTATTAAGATTTCCCTTAAAATGACAAGAATGGGGTTGTATGGGTAACAAATATATCACTGTGTATATTTTTATGTATGTGTGTGCGTGTGCGTGTGTGTGTGTGTCGAATAAAAACTACTTAATTTTATCCCTTCAATCTCACTTGGCCGCCAGTGCCGGAGGTCACCCCCAGTACGTCCGGGACAGCGTGTTTGTCGGCCAGTCAGAAAATATCGGGGAACCTGCCGTTGTACTCGATAGAGAAACAAGACGATACGTTTATATTCCTCGATCAGTCCCGTCACCAAGAATGTGAGTATTAAAAAAAATGTTTTCCAAAATGATGGTTCTTGTTTCTCATCAAAAGGGACTTTCGATTATGCAAGCGAAGATAAAGATGTCAGACACATATTTGGTCAGCGGAGCGGCTTTTTTTTTAATCATTAAAAATCCACTCACTTCTTAGCCAGAATAACAAAAAAATCTATCCGAAAATTTTCTATCTTTTGGACATACTCCGAAAGGGTAAACTGTATTGACGAAGAGAATTAATAAAAAATAATTTTTCTGAGTGAAAATCATAAAATTTGATACTGAGAAAACACATTAAAACCTATTTTTATATATGTTTTAGAGATCGCCCGGTCACTGGAGCCTTGTTTTATGATCGCCCTGTTTACTTTGAAAATAATTGGTTCGGCGGCTACGCCACCGATGCCTATAGACCTGCTGGCGCCATCGGCTTCAAGAGAAGAGACAGAGGGTTCTCATCGTCAACCAACGGGGTGCGGGGAGCCATGTTCGGATTCACTGACGGGGTGGTAAGATATGAATCAAAAATGCAAAATTCAAAAGACGAAATTGATAAATTATGATTGATAAAGTGAATGCCTAGGTTAATGAAAACAGTACGTAGAGTATGTTCAACATAAAGAACTGGACAATTTATTTTGGCTTATAAAAATTGACCACATTGTCTGGATCAAAATTCAGTATTAAACACAATGAAAAAAACTGCTTTTTCTAAGAGATTAAATCGGCTTGCGGTATATTGTGATTGACTTTAGGACGGCAACCGCATGCTCGACGGCGACGAGTCCGTCCCTGGGTTTGGTGACGAAGGTGGAGACAAGAACAAAGTGATGACAGACTACGACGGGAGTATCACGGGCACCGCTGGAGCCTTCGTAGTTAAGCAGAGGCAGTTTGTTAACACCCAGAACTGTTACAATAAAACCAACTGGAATCTCGCGGTTTGTCCAGACCGAATGGCCAAGGTAGGTCACGTGAGAGCCTAGAAAATTTAGTGCCGGTGCGACAGACAATGGTAGTCTACAGGAAACCGTAGTCCGTTTCCCATTACTTTTTTCAGGTGACGTTCGTCCCATATACTAACCCCAATTCTACAACTAACCTTTCCTCATACTAATCATATGGCACCCCGGACATCCATCCCTTGGACAACCATTCCTGTCACGCCGGTTTAAAAGTCACAAGAGACACCTTTCGTGTCCCTTTGGCCTGTAGTCCCCCTTTATGTACCCTTGGACATAATAAGAGATCCAAGATGTACCCTAGGTTCTAGATTTATGCCCTTGCCGTCATAACGCATCCCTTCTTTTGGTAAAATCCTTCTCCGTCCAGTGTGCTCTTTTTATAGAATAAGCCATTATGTGGCATTCTAAACAGAGACTTTGAGAGTGCACAGGATGTTGTAATGTTATAAGGTACACGAGTTGGACACCGGAAAATATAGTAAATCATGAATAAAAATATTAATTATTCAAGTACAATTCAATACCACGCCGATGAAAAACAGCTGCTCATTAGCATTTCCTCTGACAAAATGGCCTCTTCATCTTTCCAAATGCTATTTCACGCTGTTTACGTATGTGTTGACGCGAAGGTAAAATGATGCGTGTAATGGTAATACCTAGCTTGATACTTCAGATCAAGATCGCAGAGCGCTCGCAGTCGGACGATGACCTCATAGAGGATATTTACATGGTTCGAGATGACTTCTCCGGGCATTTGGAGTATTTCGATGGAAACACCAATATTGGGATGCTGGTCATCAATAAATACAAATATACCTTACACTTCGTCGGCCCTTCTCCTGACCATGTTACCTTTTTACTGGACGGCTTCGAAATGTAGGTCTACATATTTAAAAAAGTGAAAGTATTTCTATTCAATAATGACAGAATAATTCTCCCGTCTGTAATATGTTTTTTTTTTTTTTAGTTAATTTATTGTTTTCCCTTTCGCATTCATTATCAAGTTTAAACGGGGTGCGGTGATTTTTTGAAATGGACGCCTTGACATTGTATTTTCTTCCTTTCCTCTTCTTTATCACACTTATGTAACTATTTCAGAGGAGACAAGGTGAGAGTGGGCATATGTTTCCCGAAAGACACTACATCGTTCACCATCAAGAAAAAATTCTTTGGTACAAATTTTGTGTACGCAACCAGTATTGAAGACTTTGAAGAGAAGTCTCTTACCAGCCATCTTGTGGCGTACTGGGACTCGTCGACAGGGTAAGATACAAAAATAATTATTGGAACAATTTTTTGTCTGTTGTGTTGAGATTGTAAAAATTGGTAAAAAAGTAAAATCTGTGGTCAAGGCTCTTTAATGATAGGTAAAAACGCAATACCTTATACAGATGTACGTAAAACACGATTAGACTCTCTTCCAACGATTAAGTTTTTTACTTATAAAAACTGCTAAATCATTAGGTCCTTTGTTAGACACTCAGGTATTTGAAATATATTGTAACTGATATATCCTATATTTTGGATGTTGCTTTAAGTCACACTATAGCACATCGGCTGCTTTTACCCGTTGATAACGCATGTTCATAACTACTGAAAATTAATTACATTATTGATTTATACTGTGTTCTTTTCGTAGCCTGCTCTTCCTATATTTTGAGGGAAAATACGACAGGGAAGATGGTGACGACAATTCTTGTCCCGGAAAGAAGTGCCCCAAAATCATCATCGACCGCAACGACGGCAGTATGAGCGCGGCCACGTGTTATACTGACGCTTACGGGCCTTACGCCACAGATCTTGTGGTGAGTTGATCTTGATTTATGGCTACGTTTACAATGAAACTTTCGTACTAGGTAGGTCGATCCAATTCCGCGGGGACTATCGCTGAATGCAATCAGATTAACTGAAAAACACGCCTCCTCGAGCAGCTTGGGGTGATTCTGGAAGCTTTTATCACTTCGTTTTGAGTGCAATCGAACGCACGCAAAAGTTAATTAACCCCTAGCCGTTTGAGGAGGTGCATCATTCAGTTAATCGGAGTTGGATCGATCTACCTAGTATGATAGTTTCATTGTGAGCGCACCCTAAGAAATGTTTGAAAGTGATCTGCTATGACATATGTATGATTTGAATGGTGCATTCCCTTTAGAAAAAAACTTGCCTAGCTGTCGATTCACATGTCAAAATATACCAATTGGGCGTTCGTCATATAGAAATCGAGCTTTAGAAAAGCAGCTTCCTCGCTAGGTCTGAGAGTTCGTGAGCCACACTGTCAATAGCTGAGCCTCCCCCCTCCTATAGGCCTACTGTAGGCGAGGGAACAGAGTGTCGACGCCGGTGCCTTTTTTTTAACTGTGATTTTTATTTTCATTCCAAATTAAATATCACTCTACCACAATAAAGCATCATAGCATGTTACTGAAAATACTCATATCAAGCATGCAGTGATAAAATCACATTTCACTTTACGAATCATTTATAGAATTTATAGAAATAGCTGTTGGTCTTTGATAATGTAAATAAGGTCAAAGTTAGATTTTGGTCGATGGCACATCCATGTTTCGCTATTTTTAAAAATCAAACCATTTTATCCCAATATTTTAGCCACCAGACGATACTGCACTGACGCCGCCCGACGCAGCAGACGAGATAGTGACACCCGAACCGAGCGCGGACGTGAGTTGTCTGTCCTTTTGTTAATAGTCTGTTAAAGATTTTTAATTTGCAGATTTGAATGTATTTGTAAAGTTTGCAGATATGCCACTTATAATGCGATAAAGAATCATAAGTAAATTTTTACAGTAGACTAGGCGACCCAGTGACCAGCTACTGTGCGTCAAAGGTGTAACGTACCAGTACTGTGCTTTTGTAAAAGACATAGAAGCTCAACAAATAAACAAACTGGTTTAAGAATTTATGAATTGATTTTAATATAAAGGAATAAAGTTTTTCTTTTTCTTTCAGCTGGGAGCTGGTCCCACCAAACCGTTCTTGATAAGAAGTAAACCAACTGCGTAACTGCATCCGACGGGAAAAGTTTATTTTGAATTCTTTGAATTGTTGATTAAATTTCTCTGGGGCACAAAATTTCCATTGTATGAACTAAATATAGAAATAAACTTCAACATAGCAAAAGACGGAGCATGATAGAAAAAGAAAACAAAAAAGAACCATAAAAAAACAAGTTATCGTATCCGTACGCACACTTGTGACACGTCTTCAGTACTGCGCACGCGCGCGGTCGTGACGAAGCTTTCTATATATATATATATATATATATATATATATATATATATATATATATATAGACTTTCTGACAAATGTAAACGGTAAACTCAAGGAAAACCTGATAACCCTTGTTAAGCTTGAAAGCGAAGAACCCAGGACACCAAAAACGCATGGAACATGGACTTTGATTTATATTTGTTAAGGGTCAAAGAAACATTGCATGAAAAATGCTTTGTGATAGGTATAGAAAGTTGTAGTTGATTTTAGCAGCATATGAAGCCACGTGAGAATTTCTTATGTCCGCTGTTGAACAGTTTAAGATGAGATCTATGTTTTAGTCATCCAGTAGAATAAAAATGAAAAATATGTATAATAAGTATTCTGATACCGGAACTTGCATTAGCTACTGATCGACGTTGTGGTCTTAACCTGAGACCTTTCACTATTTAAAGGTCCTGGATGGACAGGTCACCTGATTTATTGATATACGGCTCGAAACAGTCTTCAAACGCAACCAGAGAAGCTATTTGGAAGGGGGTAGATAACCCAGTCCTCAACAAAAAAGGAAGCCTCATGTTTAACATTTCCCACATATGGGGCTGGGAGCTGGAGACTATTGCTAGCCGTTTGTAGATAAATCAGGTGTCCAGTCCACCCAGGCCGTTACATAGAGAAAGACCTGAGGTTGAGTCCGCAACGTTGGTCAGTTGCTTATGTACATGTGCAATGTAAGTTCCAGTATCTTAGTTATGCATACTTTTCAGTTCCAAATATGCTTTATCAAAGGTACCTGAAAATAGTCAAATACTCCGAAAGCCCATGATTTTATGTTCAATCTCTTTAAGTACGGATACAAGTAAAATTATTTTACTTATTCATTAGGAACACGGATGGGACAATAAAAACTCTGTGGCTAAATTATTGTTACTTTATTTGACTGCTATCTGATTCTGATTTTGCCATTCTCATTGAGATGGCTGAAGTTGGTGTCTAATATTCAGTTTTGTCTTTTCAAAAACGGTTCTAGCATCCAGAAACTAACGTCGTTTTTCAGAATCGAGTCTGGCGACCACAAAATAGTATTGTTTTTCAAAACGGATTCTGGCTTCTGACACCCCAAAACTAGTGTCAGTTTTTTGTTTTTTTTTTCAAACGATGCCGAAAACCAGAAACTAGTGCCTTTTTAAAAAACAATTCTGGCATTAAACAATACATTTACAGCCTATCTCAGAAAACAGTTTTATGGTATAAACGTACTCGTAGCTGCAGAAAAGAAATGGAAACTAGCTATAGCTTATATTCAAAATAATTCCACCGGAATGTGTGAGTTGTTCAAACATGGAATTGTTGCTATAAAGCAAAATGAATGTCTTTTTAAAAAACGTTTTCAAATTATATTCAGAAAATTCAAATGCTTTTAATAATACACATGTTTTTTATGTTAACCAAAGTCTTAAACATTCTGCATGAAACACTTTTTAGTCAGAGTAATCATCTGGTGGCGTTCCTATAGAACCGTCACGTGACTGATCAGAGGCCGACTGGGCTCGTCTTGGCTTTACGAAGACCCGGACTCCTGGAACCGGTTTGCGCTCCATGGCCTAGAATAGCAAATTAAAAAAAAAAAACAGTTTACTTTGTTGTCATCTAACTCCTGCGTCAACAGCACATGAATGTGTCAATTTTTCAAACAGAAAAAAAATTAAGATTGTCAATCACCTTTTGACCTGGTTTGTAATGAGGTTGTCGATTCACGGTTAACCTATGTTTGATCTCTCTCTCTCTCTCTCTCTCTCTCTCTCTCTCTCTCTCTCTCTCTGACATACACACACGCGCGCGCGTGCGCATACACAAAACAACATCACACAAAGGATGTGTACAACCAACATAATCATAGTTGCGCTTTTTTTACCTCCAAATCTATTCTTCGCAGCCTGGCGACTCTATTTTTGTCTCGCAACCGAGATCCTGGTCCCAACCAGTTTTGTATCTTATTTTCGAGATCGTCCAAATTAGCATGAGATGCGTCCGTACTGGTCACAATGAGACCATGAACATCGTTTTGAATTTCTTCAGTCCTAGAGATGCCATTAGGCTGTGGGTGCCTCTTCGAGATCAGTCTCTGAAGATGCTTAGGAAGTCTGACTGCAGAATCATCGTTGAAGTCGATTAGCTCATCTGCACTGGTTGGATGTTCTAACGACTTTCGGTGCTCGTCTCTCAGCTGACGTAACTTCCGTCGATGTTCTCTAGCGCGAATTCTGTGAAAAACGGTTCCTGGAGCGTACTGATCTATCAGAGGTCCCCATGGTGGCACAATGTCTACAGCATCGTCCTTTTTCGTGGGGTTCATTTTTGACAAAGTTTTGCTATTTTCTGTATTCTCAATAATGATATTATACTGTTTTGATTTCGACAGAAGTTGCTTCATGAACGGTATGTGCTTTTCAACAACGTCTGTGATTCTGCACTGTATACGCAGTTCCAAGCCTTGCCTCATTTTTTCAATGGTCTTTGGCTGGCGTTTCACAAACAGTCGATCCCAGTGTCTCATGTCGAGAGTCAGAATTTCTGTCTTTTGCGTGCATTTTGCCGTCTGGAGAAAGGTCTCATATTCCAACAGAACTTCTATATCACCTGAAAGTACCAAAAAAATTGTATAAATCTTTTTGCCAAATAATCAGTTTCTCTAAGCTAGTTCCCCATCTATTAAGCCGACGAGCATATCTATCGTAATATATCTGGAAGTGTTGGTCAAAATGGAAATGTACATGTACCAGTTAACAAGTCTAACTGCAGTCTATGAGTTAATGCTGAACATGGAATGTTATCGGTACGACCTTTTCGCGCAGTTTTATAAGGTTAAAAAGCCGAATGAAATTGGTGATTTGACAATGTGGTAGACGTCCAAATCATTCTTCAGGACGTGCTTTAAAGTATGCGCACACCACATTCGGTGTTACTCCAGTGTTACGGACCATTCAGAATGAGAAGAGCCGAGTGCTAGCTGGGCCACGACCTAAATATGGCGGACCTACATGAAAGGAAGACCGCTTAATCCTGTAATGGTCTCTCCACCTCTCACACGCCTCCCCACGCGTCGTCCCTGCAGGGGCACAGTCATTAAACCTCGGCTCAATTCAACCGGTTGAGGGACAATGCGTGGGGAGGCGTGTTAGAGGCGGAGAGACATTCATGTACGTCCGCCATATTAAGGTCGTGGCCTAGCTAGCACTCGGCTCTTCTCATTCTGAATGGTCCCTTAGCTCCACCTACCTATGCACTCATTGGGTCCTAAACAACAAACGTCAATCAACTTCCGTGGCTCCACCTTCTTTTTGTGCGGGTTGGCCTTTTTCTGCAGTACTGCGCGGCTCAGTTTTCTAGAGATAGGAGCACCTCTAAAGACCAAGAAAAGATTAATGTCAGTATTCAATCCATTTTCAAAGTCTGATTTTTTTCAAAAACGCATCCCCACACAGTATATTGTTTATTTACTCTGATCATGGAAGTATATCATATACTTCCATGCACTGTCAAAGAAAAAATTAACCATAAAAAGATTAGACTTGAGGAATAGGTCAGTTGATAAAGTGAGTAAAATATCCCACTCTCAACAGGTGGTTATGAAACACCTGCAAAGGTGATTGAATATTTAATCTATCACAGAAGTTCAGTAAATGCCTAGATGTTAATGTAAATCAGAAACCCTTACTTTGTTTGTGTGCCGTTTGCATCTTCTTTCTTTCTCTCGGCCCGTACTTTGGTTGGACTGCTGGGGAACATGCTTGAGTGAAGCTGTGGATCCATGCTTAATTTGACTTCTCCCCTGCAAACCATCGCGAAGAAAGTGAAGTTATCAACATAATTTTTTCCTTTATTTTCATCTAATAGTTTTGAATATATACAATGTGGATAGCAAAAATTACGTGAACAGCATCCTTTCATTCGCACAGTATATCAGGGGTGGATCCAGGATAACATGAAGGGGGGCGGATTTTTTAGGATGCGAAGCCGACCCTCGTCCCTGCGGGTCCGAAAAAATGGTGTTTTAGAGGGCACAAGGTGCCATTTGGTACGGTTTAGAACTATGATTTAGCTTGTCAAATTTCTAATTTCCAGAGGGGGGGGGGGCAGGATATTCCCAGAGGAACCATTTTACAAAAATTGCTCTCATCACAGACGTGCTCAAATAACAGTTAACCTCATGATTAAAAAAGATAAATATACCTTAAAATAAAGTAAAGGGCATTCACTGGCTGTCCTTGTTTCGCTAATACACTGTCATAAGTCAGCGTGTGTTTTTCTAGTGCCATGGCCAGCTGCTTTTTATACTTGGGAGGCCACCCGCCGAAAAATTGGTTAGTGCTCACGAATTTGGCTTTATCCTCGAACTCCTGGGCTAGTACACTTTTGACAGACCTTGTATACAAGTCTCGGTCAATGACAATCATGTCACAGGGATCGTCACAAATGATGGACGCTGTCCGAACGCAGTCCTCACTGACCAAAGCTACCTCGCCGAACGTGGCACCTGGGTCTATTGGAAAAAATATTTATGTTGAAATAGTTATTATATGACAGTTTGATATATTGGAGGAACAATTAACATATGATTATTATTTTAAGGTTTTCGACTAAGACCTCCTTCTGTTTGTGATTAATGCATTGAAAAGGTGTTAATAAGGCAAGGATTAATAAAGAGGGGCAATGACGAAGTAAATTACTGCTTGGAAAGTGACGTCAATTTTACTAACTTAGAGTTGTGACGTAGGTTCCTAATTTTCGACGGTCTCGTACGATGTATTCATCGTCTGTGACGTCACTCTCGTGCTCTGTGCTCTCGTTCTCGGACGAATCCATGTTCTTTGCATAGAAGATATAGATAGACACTCTACCGCTAAGCAGGATAAAGAAACTGAAAAATAAATTTACTTGCAATTGATTGATTAGTACAACATGAAAGTTTAGCGCAATAGAGACCCACGTATTTGAAAAAAAATCTTACACTGTACTTCCCAATCACCTTTTATTCGTTTTTCTTTCTGTATCTCTTATGGAGTCTAATACAGCCTCAAACAACCTATAACTATTTCACGAAAATTAAGCTTAACGAAAAAAAGATGTTTCGTAAAACAAAGTATAGTTTAAATTTAACTATTCTTTAGCCTGCAGTCATTAAGTATTCCCTTTACATTCTTACTTCAATATGACAAATGCATGGGGGGTGATATATAATGATAATATGATAATGTTAATAAAAAATGCTCACCATTCCCCCTTATCTCCTTGCCGTATGATCAGTTGGTTCTGTCGGTTTTTCACAAAGCTGCAGTGTTTTATGACGTCATGAAGAATATCTGAGAAGAAAAGTTTTTTAAAAAGTTGAACTCTTTGAAACTTAAAATTGAATACTTAAACAGAAATAACATTAGCTCCCGTTTTTATCAATAGATACGGAAAGCAGATACTTTGTCTCCTATGACGTCATGGTCTTTAGGAGTGGCGTGATCGCTTATAAAGACCATGACGTCATGGTCATGACGTCATGGTCTTCAGGAGTGGCGTGATCGTTTATGAAGCGGTCCTTCTACATCTAGTTTGAAAACGTCCTTATAATTACAGTCGTTAGCCTTATCTGCAAGCCGAAGGGTTGGGGGGGGGGGGGCACAGGAACAAATATTTTTTGCTCGGCGAGTCGCCACGTCACGTCACGTCATTGACCCCCCCCCCCCTTCTCAACACACACATACATGTACACACCACCACCACCATCATCCCCCTTGTGCCTCATTTGCCAGATGATTTTCCACGGGGCAGTGAGTCAGATCTAAATGCATCAAGTCCAAATATGATAAATCCGAAAAAATTGGAAATTTCAAAACAGAACAGAAATAACCAATGGCGTTTCCGCTACAGGACCACAAACGTAATACATGTTTCAGAAACATGTGTTATTGTACTATCCGACACGCGGTGCAGACATCCACCACGGTGGTCTTTCGCCAAACGACGCAGAAACTGGTGGCGATCGCGAGTTTTATTGAGTGTCTACGTGTTTAACATCATACCTTGTTGAGCAAATGTGAAACCAACATTTCTTAGAGGGCCATTAATTGTGTCTGTTCGTTGAAATTAGACAACCACTCGCTGTCACACTGAAATTAGTTTTTACCAACCGATCACAAGCGCTGAACCCAATATATACATGTATAAAGCACGACTCGCGGTATTTACCACCAATTTGTTTTAAACCATTTGTGAAAAGTCGTGACCTCGAGAATAAGGTGTAATTTTTCTTGGCGGACAAAGATACTAATAACGGTCTTAAACCTAAATTATAAAGGCCAGTTCAGTAAGATTCAATCGTAATATCAAACTATGAAAATCAAATTGCCATAAGCTTAAATACAACCCGTAGTGGTATTGAATCACATATCGTTTGCCTAACGTCTTGACTTTTCCCCATAATCCACTTACCGTACCACGCGATGAGGACTCGGTGACATTGTTTGATCTCCGTCAACTATATGTACGGAGCACTACTATACGTTAGGGATCAGATTATTTCGTTTGGATTTTCGATTTATTAACCGTCTATATATGTACATTTAGTGGTTAAAGTCACGGGGGAAAATTATGGGCGCTATATTGTGTAGTATCTTTGATTGAAACATTCTTGGTCATATGTTTGCTCAGGTGGTTAAGTTGACAGTGAAAAAAATACTGCTTAGGGATTTGTCAAAGTGATTTTTCATTTTGTAATAATGATAATCGGTAAAGGTTAAGGTTATTAACTGTTAAAGTTGACACATTGAGTGGCTGATTGACCCTTTTTTCCCCTTATCTGCCCCTTATTCGCAAGTTGGACACCTGTCCTCCTTGTACGTCAACAAGCTTGTAATCCTTCAGACTTGACCCATTGTAAAAAAGACGACACGGGCTGAAATCAGTATCGACGATTACCTCCAGCAAGGTAAAACAAGAGCAAAGAAACACAATAATTTTTCAGCACGTTATGGGGAGTTTAAATAAATACAGCCCCTCCCCCCCCCCCCCAAAAAAAAAAAAAAGCTTTTAAGGTTTTCGATCCAAATGAATGGCAAGAAAATAATAAAAATCGATGACCTCGTTTGTTTGGGCAACTGGTCAAATATTTTAATATTAAGTACAACTCTAGTTGGTCCTTTGAATGGTTTAACTATAGATATATTTATGTACGCGGTCGATTACATTTTATAGTCGAATAAAATTCCTTAATATATGAAATTTTCTTCAAGTGTCAAGAGGTTTTTTCGATATTGGAACATAAGAAAGCAGATGTTTCTTGTTTAACACTTACTCGTCAGTCTATATAGTATCTTAAAGGGATAAGAACTCTTCGTATGAAATCTATATTTTACAATAAATACATTGTAAACAACTCATAGAGAAATATTATATATTCTTTTTTACCACAAAAACGGCAATTGTAGCAATAAATCTGAAATACATGTATGTGCTTGCCATCGGACCATGTGACCTCCATAGATGGCTATACTCAGTAACAAGAGATTATTCCAAAAAAAAAAATAAATAAATAAATAAATAAAAAAACGAACTTTTTAGAAAAAAAAAAAAAAAACAGGGAGTAACTTTGAATTTAGAAATGGATTCATTAACCATTGGTAAGTATGGGAAAATTGCTGTTTACCCAGGAAAATTAATTTTTTGGCCAAAATGAACAGTTGTTATCCCTTTAACGCACGGACACTTTTCAACATCATGCACAAACTGTGTGTAAGGCCCCGTTCCTATAGACACATAGGTCTACGTAGAACTACCTAAATCTACGGGGATTCTTCCTGAGTGTCATCAGCTTAACAGATTAACATGCCTGCTCCTGGCCATAATACAGAAAAGCTGGTTATTATACGTTGAAATAAGAGGAGGCGTGTCGACGTCATTCAGTTAAGCTGATTGCACTAAGCGAGAGTCCCCGCAGGATTGAGTCGATCTGCGTAGACGGATGGCGTGAAAAAATTCAGTATTTCAGCTCCTTTGTACCATGACCAAAGGAGTTTGCAATTAGTGGCGCACACGTACCGTTTTTATTAATACTGGCACCGCTTATCAGAATTAATTAACTTCCATCGTTATTAAGAGTCCGCCGTCTTTATTGACATATTGCCGGGTCACCCCTTGTTGTGCTCAGTTCAAGCCAGGGCAAAGGTTTACTATTGGCAACCATGTCCGTTTAACCCTTGTTACTGTCGAGGAAGAAAATGATGACTTTATTAACCGTGGCAGGTAAAGGAGACGATTAGAAAACAAATGCGATTTTTCACTGTTCAGTTTTGGGTAAGCGTAAAGAAAAGTCCGGTCGTAAATGTGATTTTTGATTAATGGGTATAATCAGTGCTTATTAGCACCCTTTGAACTGAAGGATCATGTGTGAAAGTACGCCTTCTTTAGTGAAATTAGTACTTATAAAGTAGTTCAAGGCTTTCCTGACCTTTTAAAGGGCAAATGTGTCGGACTCAAGGTCTATAAACAAGGCTATTGCTTTAAATTAATTGATATTCATTAAAATGGTTTCAAAATCAGACAGACTCTTAAAAATGCAAATTCAGTCTATTCTATTTATTGGCACATTAGAAGCTTTCTATGCTAAACTGACCTTTAAGGTAGACAAACTTGTTTTTGGGTCCTAAAGAATTTTTTTCCAAAACCAATCTTGAAGTTGGCATAACTAACATTTCAAATACTCAAGCCATGCAGACCCCCCCCCCCCCAAAGAAAAAGTGCAAAAAGAGGAAATAAGCTCACCTGATTTCAGATCCTTAAACAGCTCCGATTTTTTCTTGAACCACGGTAACAATGGTGCGATCTCGAAGTCCTTTCTCTCCGACGTGGGCTTCGAGATCACTTCCACGACCTGCGCGTAAACGCTTGGCCTGCTCATTGTTCGCAGGGAATCCAAATACTCACACTAGAAATCAAAATACAGTAATGTCACAACTTTCACTAAGTGCACATCGTGGCCAAAGGAGCCGCATTCAACTGAGGAGAAACGCTGTATTTATTTTGAGACCGTAGATCAAATACAAGGTGTCGATTAGACTGAAAGATGGAATTATCATAGCGCACCTTGAACATGATCGTTTACTTTGTTTGGGGGTTTTAGAGGGCGGTGAAGTCCATCGGTGTTAAATGGCCCGCAAAAGAAAATAAACGCAGATAGTGTGATTGTGCAGAGCATATGTAATATGAAGTAAAGAAACTGTGTCCACGGAAGGTAATTGTCTGAATGTTAACAACCAAACTTACGTATAACAACTATGCTGAAGAATTTGGCTGAAGGGTGCGTAGTGCATAATTTGATGTGTGTTTTAGACTGCATTCTCACAGATTTTAGATCGATCTATCCCCGTGGGGAGTCTCACTAGATTACTGTCAGCTTAGCCGGCTTAAATGTCTGTCCCGCCTACTAAAAGCTGTAAGGGGCTAACTATAGTGCGCGCTCGGCTGACAGCAATTTAGCGTGAACCCCCAGGGAGTTAGGTCGATCCAGATGGATCGATCTAAATCTGTGGGAATGCATTCTAAGATCGCGTGAAAATCTTTGTGAAAATACCGTGCTGATTTAATATATAAATACCAAATGCAAGTTCAAGAAAAGACTTCCTTTTCAAACGAAATAGTATCTTTGTTAATGAAACATTTCATGGTATATAATATTTTAAACAAATAGAAAAAACTGAACTTGAAAAGCGACATCGATTCATGTTCAGTATTTTGGCACCCTGAGATTTATTGTCTCCTCACATGTGGCGCAGTAGCCATTAGTAGCGTAAGCTCTACCATTTTGAGATCTATTTCAGTTATTTGAAAATAAATCATTTAACGTGTCTGTACAATAGCCAACACATGTTTAAAATGATTTAACATGAGTGCGGTTAGCCTGCAGCTTGTATTAACTTGTAGGAACTCTACATTTACACGAAGAGCGCAACGAACAACGTGTATGGGGTCACGTAACAATTAGACGAATTCAGATTTAAATGTCATTGTTTAAATACGTTACATGGATCACAGTGTATTACATCGTGACAAGTTCGAAGAAAATGCATTAAGAATACTTATTGCAATTCAAGTATGATGTAAGTGTGTTTTACTCCCTTTGAAGATTGCTGTCCAACAAATAATTTAATAAGGTGGTTCGACTTAAATAGCTAGATGTTTAAGATTTTTAACAAGTGCTTCATCAAAGCTTTCATTTCGCTTCATGATTAAATGTTAATAGATGTCTTGTTTGCGTGTACGTTCATTATTTTTCACCTTTAATAATGGGTAAAACATTTAAGAAAATTAAGACATCGGAGCTGGTCCAGTCCTTAAAATTTTTTACTCCTGAAAGATGGTTGCAATTCTTTAAGTAATTGTTTACCTATTATAAAGGTAATTTACAAAATAAAATAAATGTTTTTGAAAATCCAAATAATGGAATACACAAGGTATTAATATTTGTTAACTTTCTTTTTTACTTTATAATTGTAAAAAGATTTTTGCTCATATCCATCTCAAAATTATTATTACAGTTTTTAATTAAATTTGAATGTTAAGATTCTCTGATCTTAGTATTCAGGTAAATCTGACTGTGAAAAATTGTACATAGAGAAACTGAGGACCGCCTTTTAATAAAATATGTACTGACTATACTCAAGACCACTGCAGTATAAATAAGCTTACCTTTGGATATTCAAGTTACGTCAAACAGTGTAACCCAAGAGTTTTTCAACAGATTTCTTTTCGAAATTCCTTCCAGCAGAAGTTGAGTGAAATCCTCTTAAAGAAGTGTGTCCGTGAACTACCTTTCTCGTGTCATTATATACACACTTCCACGAGGTAGATGTTACTCATACATGTGCCTTGAAATTAGAATAAACTTGCTGGGAAGTTCAATTATCGGGACTTGATAGGCTATTTTACGCTGCCGTCTACGAGCACAGGCGTGACTTCGCGAAGAAATTAAACCAATTAATCAAGCTGGCAAACGTACTTCCTTGAAATGCATGCAGTGTAGCCACTGGCTTTTGACATTTTTCTTTCTTTTGATTTAAACCCCAACGATAAAATGTTGTTATGAATTTAAACTTCCAACTTTTGTGACACTGCCAGCCAATTTAGATTTGAAAATTTAAAATCCTTCAAGGAAAAGCTAGATTCCCATATCCCTTGGAACAAGACAAGGACATATATTTTCCACCGATGTGACGACCAATTCATATAATTTTCAGCAACAGTCAGTGGTTTAGAATTCGCAGTCGGGACTAAGGCTGATTTCCTGACAATATTTCATAAGTAACTGCAGTCCCATGGATTTATTTGGCAGCCGAGAAACTTCACCCAGCTGACCACGTAGTTGTCCTATGGATTGATGTAATCTCCCTGTGTGTGTCCTGCATTGCCCATGCTTTCTTAATGGACCATAAATCACGAAATTACCATCTACACTGGGTTTCAGAAATTTACACTGGGTGTACGATATCCATTTCTCCTTGAACAGTCAGGTCAACTTCATGGTGAGGTATTCAAACTTTTCAAGATAATTATTCTGTAAAAAAAGAACAAACGTTTTACGCGGCTTTTACGATTTCTCCTTGTAACAGTGCCGCTGTCAAGTCAAATTCATGACGACTTATTCAAACTTTTTAAAGAAAATAAAATGTAAAGTAGTAGAATTCCCTTCTCGGGCGTTTTTACACGGCTTGTATCTGAAGATAAGCCGAGAGCTTAAATGGTCGCTATCCTATCCATAATACATGTCATCCCAAGTTTAATATTGTCCATATTTATTCAATCTAGCTGCGCTCGTACACTAATCTGATTGCCTGACAAACATTTGTTCAAAGGCGTATTTAACCCAAATTTAACCTTTGTTTGGCAACATTTAAGACGCAAAACAGTTCTGTAGTGTTTGTTGTAATTTCACACCCAGATTTATGACGTCTAAGGTGATTGAGAATTGATAGGGTGGAATATTAATGATGTATGTGACAGGCATCATTGAAATGTGAGTTCATAATATAAGAGTTAAAATCGGTATCAGTAAAAAAAAAAAAAAAACTCCGACAGAAAATAAACAGATAAAAAGCAATATGAAGATGATGTAGAAGTGGCAATGAAGCAATTGTAATAGTAAGAATTGTCTACATGTAGTGAGGAATGGATTGCATAGAATATGGAAGAAAAAGCACCAAATGTACCAAATGCACCAAATGTATAATCTCCTTACAATCACATGAGCCATTTGAACAGACATTTGGTTGAGTAGCATGAGAAGTAATAAGTGACTAACAATTCTTAAACTGTTTCCAAGAACTCCTGACGGCATTTGTTAGTTTTAATTTCAGAGATTGACACTCAAAAGGGCCTCTTGCGTAACAAATGCAAATTATCTATGTAATTTTTCAAGCAGCCACACGCTCTGTTACATTTATCATTGCCGTTTCTAGGAAATTTGAAGGGGGTGATGGGCTCGCTTACTTAACTTTCTTGTGATCCCTTAGATATCGATCTAAGTGCTAATTCCATTTTATAGCTCACACACAGGAACATTTCACCTTCATCATTGATGGGAGACGCCTAACGTAATCCAATTCATTGCTGATTACATGACATATCGTTAATCTAAAACAATTAGCAGGCAATGTATAGTATCCAACAAGACCCATTTATCGAAATGACTCTGACTTCAGCTTACCAGTTGTGGATATACTCCACGTGTTTTAATCAACACCGTGAAACCAGGAAAGCTAAAAAAAGTTTTAGGTTTTTACTTTTTTATTTGAAGAAAAAAAAATCAGCATTGACAAGATACGTTCTCTGGGCTGCGAGAAATATGTTGGCATTATTTCTTAAAATTAAATAAATAAATAAATAAATAAATAAATAAATAAATAAATAAAATGTAATGATACCTACGTACTTTTTTTATTCATTCTATAAATTCTTAAACTCAAATCCATTTTAAAATCAAGTCTAAACCCAGCTTGACAAACTTCGGGTGATTCCGTTCACTTTGCTCGTTCGGTGAATGACAGTACGGAATCAACCAAGGTGTGCACACTGGTTTGAATGCACTGTCTGCGCAGCTAACACAATCAGTGAAGCAGAGTTCACAACCTGTCTTCTCTACTGCAATCACTGAGTGTTATCTTCGCCACCGCAATGGGTGACAATACTTTGAACAATCTACACTTAGTGGAAGACGTGGTCGATCTTGTCCGAGTAGAGAGGGCGGTAGCCACACTGGACGTTGCGTGGCCAGTCGCAAGCCTTGGCGTAGTCATTGTAGACCAGACCTTTGGGACATGGACGGTATCTGTAGACGAGGTAATTCTTACAGGTCAGATACTGGCTGCAGCCTGCAGGCTCCTCGTAATCGCCGGATGGATGGGGGCAAACTGCAAGAATTTTTTTCAAATTAGTCGTGATCTTGTTCAGCTTTTATGTCTTCTATCGTGTTGGGATAACATGCAATGAATGGATTGGAATAGGTCCCCAGCAACTGAGGGATCTGTAGTATTATACTGGTACGGAGGACTCTATAGTAAGTTTAAAGCAATCTTTAATATTACATAGATAATGTCTTTAAAAAACAATGTTTAGTATCTGAATATGGAAAATAAAAGTTAGTTTTATAAATACAGTTAACCCTTTGCTCGATATAAACTCCTTTGGTAATTGCCCTAAGCAAAACATGTAAGTATTTATTTATTAACGTGACCTATGATATAAATACATCACCCGGCCTCATGGGCCTACAAGTCACCGTTCTTTATATATATATATATATATATATATATATATATATATATATATATATATATATATATATATATATATATATATATACCAGAAACAAAGAAGTATGTAAGAACATGTAAGAAAACATATTTATATTAGTCAATTAAGACGTGGCAAGAATTAAAATAGTACAAATAGCTGGGTTTACGGCGCTGGGTTGCAGGCATGCGGCCTACATCAATTTGCGTTAACAATGCATATTATTCTTATCTGACGTCCTAGCATGCCGCCCGTCCTCCATCTCAAATACGCAACCAGCGAGTAAAATTAATACTTAACGAGGGCTTATCTGGCAATGCAATATTTTTCAACCCGTCCCATCGCCCCTCTTCCTCACCTCGTCGAGCCTAGCACGGGCAGGGCATGGTGAGATAATGGCTTTGGGAGCTGATGCAATGAATGCTCATATGAGATGTTAGCAAGAGTCGCGCACTGCTCTGTGAAGAAATCGAGGGTCCGTGTATCAGCGAGTCCACCCTGTATTTGATTCATACAGGTCAGGGTTAGCATGATGTCAGTGCACAAGGGACTCCCTCCTTAGTGCATATAACACCGGAAAGCTATTTACAAGAAGACCCGACACCCCCCCCCCCAGCTCCGCACGCCATCTCTCTTGAAGCACACTACAAATACACGTATCTGCCCATTCAGTATCAAGTGCAAGTGGGTCTTACAAATTTACAGTAACTAGGGATTGTTTTTTAGCTTGTAGACAGGTAGTTGTTGTCACCATATACATATTCTTGAAAATCTATTCATTCACAGATAAGATTTTCTGAAATTCCCTGATGGAAATTTTCTGGTATGTCGTACTACCCTGTAATAACAGGAGCATTTTTGGAGGGGAGGGGGGGGGACATCGTATTTTGTTCAAATCCAGATCTTTATATCATACGAACACTTTAAAAAGAAATGCATGTATCCATACCTCTTGATTTGAGTGTGTGACGCTGTGAACAATGGATCTACTGTATTCTCCTGGCAAACGCTCAGGTGAACACCGTCACGGCGCTCGTGCAATTTGCCATTTAGTATATATAGATCACTTGTTCCGGCGCATGGAATGACTTCAACACAGTCATTTAATTTATACTTGTCTTTTCAACGCCCCAGCAGTTTTATCCCATTTGAAAGAGGCACAGAAGGCAAGTGGCAGGTCCGAAGTCGGGGGGAGGGGGGAGTCTGGTGGCTCCAAATAGTCGCCGTTTTGCCGAGAAAAGGTTCTCACTGATTCAAAGTTTATTCTAGGTTCTATACCATTTTTAAGTTGGGTCAACTAAGATAGTAAAAAGGTCAACTTTTTTCAGAAAAAAAACGCCTCCCATGGTCTAAAATTTCTGGCTAAAACTCTAAGTGGTGGCTTAATACCAGACCGATCGTCACCTGAAATCTCGCCAGTCTGGACGCAGGGATGGAGTGTAAAAACTTCTATGGTTTCCTAACATTAGTGGTCAATAGAGCACGGTGTGTGTTCCCAAGGTACGTATGAATGACACCCGTTCTAGACGTCGTTAATGTCCTTCCATCAGCACGCACAATGTAAATGATATGATGACCGAACTCGTGTCAAATGCAGGGCATTCTATAGGCTAACAGATGCTTTTGATTCTTTGCCTGGCTATTTTAAATGCACCAAAGTTAACCTGACTACGCTCCTGTCTTTATAAACATTAAGGCCTACAATTTTCAATTTGTCCAAAAATGGATTTTCCCGAGGTAATTTTCCTATACTTACCAATGCTTAATGCATTCGTTCCGACATTCAAGGTTATTTCCTTTTTTTTAATTATGCAAGTGCCTGAAGAAGAACAAGATGTTTTGGAGCAATAACTACCTTCATTTCTAAGCACTGGTCTGGCGCCACATTGGACCTCATCTGGGCTCTCACAGCTCTTCTTGTAGTCGTCCCACAGCAGGTTACCAGGGCAGGTCATGCGGGCAAGAACGTTCCAGCGGCAGATCAGGAATCCGGCGCAGTTTTCGGGGTCGGCCTCCTCGCCGTCGTAACAGACGTGCTCCTTCTTGTAAGCCGCAGCTGGAAGATATCGTGATATTTCCAATCTAGGTGTTTAAATTTCATAGCATTATTCAGGATAAAAAAAGAGACACAAGGAGATGTCTTTATTTCAGGGATTTATAACATTTGTATGAAACTGTTTTAATCAAGATTGCAGCTTAATAAACAAATACAAAGGACGCTATCAGCAATGTCTATTAATACACTCACACACACACACAGAGAGAGAGAGAGAGAGAGAGAGAGAGAGAGAGAGAGAGAGAGAGATGAAGATAGTAGTAGTTCTACTACATGGTACTTAAATTTAAGTGATGAACCCATTTCGCTGTGAGATCTGCAGCCAGTTCAAGAGGTCAGAAACACTGATCGGCACTTCTGCACTTCAAATAATTGCACGGAGCTTACCGTATTCGAGCTGATTCATGTACAAAAAACATTCCATAATGAAAATATAAAATAATAACAGTGAAAAAAAAACATTCAAAGCAGTCAAGGGCTTACTGTCATAGTATGGTCTGCTGCAATCGGCCTTCTCTGGCACCACGCACTGGGCGTCCCATCTGTCCCATTTCTTGTAGTGAGGACACTGCAGGACCAGGCTGACCTTACCCCCAACACACACCACGTACTTGGTACAGTCGTAGATGTCGCCAAATATTCCATCAGCTTCCACGCATGGTGGGTCCACTGCAATGATATGATTATTTAAAAAAACATGGCACTTTTAACGATATTGGACACTTTTCGTTAAGGGCGTCAATGCATCAGGCCGGGATCGTTGGACAGGCGTACCGCGTGACTGTACTTAGTACATGTAAACTGTCGAATATGCCGTCAGGTTTTGCACTGAAATCCAGTCTTCTTATGGTATTCTTATTTTAAAAACAAACAAACTAATAAACGGCACATTTTCACGCAGACGCAGGCCCTGGAACAATTCGTACATTTTTTTAATCAAATTAATTACGCTGTTTGTTTTCTGGGATATGTTGATAGCTGATACATGATGAAACAAATGGTGAAAAGAAATAATTTTAGATAAAAGGGAATAAACCGATTAAACTGATACACGTTATGTATTTTACAGTATTATTATACAGTATGGAGGTACGGTATTTCTGTTGTCTCAATAACCTCTCCAATGCCGTGATGCGCACATATTAGTCAAGACGAGTGAAAGATTGTTCAAACAGACAACCATCGTTGTCAGCAATCATGTATGGTTGTGGATAAACTGAGACAGATTGCTGTGAACACGATAGACTGAAACCGATGTAACGAAACTGAGGTGTAACAGAAAGCAGGCCCTCCATTTAGTTATAATTGTTAGGGTTAGCCTGACCTAAGTGGGTTAAAATTCAGGGCGAGGCTCACCTGTACAAGTGAATGTGAATCGGACTCTTTATCATGGGGAACTCTCTGTCACGCTACACCGGGACCAAGCAGAGTGTTGGATCGCGTTAATAATAGGTCGAATAAGATAATCGCTTTTAAAATTAAATTTTTATTTCAAAATTGTTTTCTGTGAGATTAGTCTTGCATAAAATTAGTCTAGAGTTAGGCATCTTTGGCATCTTCCAAGTCTACAAGATAAGCTTGTTTTGATTCATGTGTAGTGGTACAGGTTTATGATTTATCTTCGTGTCAGTCGTTCTCTAGGTTTTAGAAAGCTATAATAAAGTAATGTACATCTCATATTGAACATGTTGAACATTCTTAATAGAAACAAAGACAAGTCTTTAAAATCTTCTTACATACAAGGGGTATACAACACAGTCCTTGTGAATTAATTGTTTTCTATGGCATAAATGATGAAAGTACCCCTGTATAATTGGCATTTCGTGTGTGAAACCAATGCTCGGAAAAGGCCTCGTCACAACGACTAGCATTCATAGTGTTCCACCAACAAAAGGAAGTTTGAGCTGTCCAAACAGGCTAAACACAGACCTGATGTTGTATTTTATCATTGAGCACACATTAAAGATTCTGACCACACTTGTTAACACGTAAACCTAAACAATGAAAACTTTCTTTTGATTCTGACCAAGGACGAATTTCCTTGTGCTGACTAACCACTTGACGTGCTCATCATCTCACCCTATGTACCTGTGGATACCAGATTTGCCATGAAACAAGACATACTTTGGTTTTTGTTTAGTAATGACTTATTGAGATCGTAAAGATTTCAAGTTATGCTTGAGATAAATTACTGCCTCATATACACTGTACTGGTACTACGGACATGTGGTGCGCATAAAATTAAATTGATTTAAGGAAGGTTCTTAAACTGTAGCAATTTTTCTTGTTTTCCACCTGGTAAGTCACGATGAAAGGTACCACGTGATTGATTAACATTAAGATAAAGTGATTGTTCTTCCTGTTAGTACTTAGTGGTAAGGGACGAACTACTTAAGGAAATACAGTTTTTATTCTGACCATCCTTAAAACGTGAAAGAGTACAAGCGCATAATGAAAAATAAACAACTATCACTTAAAAATCCTCTTTGGTTTCGGCATGTATTTTGAATGGCAATTTATCTTTCTACCGCAACAATACTGTTTCTTTTTGATTGAAATTCAAACGCACTTCACAAGTCAATTGCTATCACCATAGCGGCATCTTCAGAAAATGAAATGACGTTACCAAAATCACCACAATACTTACATTTAAATTTTGGTCGCGGTTCCAGAACAGCGGAAATCGCAGAAAAGAAATTAATTTTTGCTAAGAACGTTTTACATGTGCTCCCTTTGTGTCAGAAAGAGGTGCGTACGTCTACCAAAAAGGTACATGTACGTCTGGTGATTTACAAGAATGAAAAGCAGCACATTTTAAGTTTGTCCAGAAAAAAATTATGAAAAAAAAAATTGAATAGTATGAATGAATCTTAAAATAATCGTAATGGGGTAGAGAAAAACGAGGGGTGTCATGAGAATGATTTAAATGTTACTGTCGCCAAGTACGTGGTCGTACAAAGAGTCGATTCCACATTGAAAAAAATGCCATCAAAATATTTCACTGAGCCATCATATCTCTTAGATTTGTACTTTGGACTTCAAATAATTAATTTGGTGTCCCTTTCAAAACCAATTTTGAACAAAGTTTCATTCCATTTGGCAGTTATTAGTAGAACACACGTCAGAGACGTACACTCGTACATGCTACTCGATGTATTTTGGCAACGTACACATTTTGGCAAGACAAGGTACGTTATAAATACATTTACGAATCGTCTTCATGACAAACGTTAAATCACACAAGATAAATGCAACACATTACCAGTAACTGGATGGAATACTTACATTCGACGCCGCAATGGACGGCCAAAATCAATCCAGCAAAAATAACACCGGTTGCCAGCATTTTCGCTCCGTGCAAATGGTTTCGGTGATGGAATGGCACTCCACTACATATATGAACAACCTTGCTTTGTTACAAATGGGGGAAACAATGTGGACGAGTCCAATACTGCGGGAAGCTTATATTCTCACAGATTGAGGGAAGGGAACGTTTTTTCAACCAATGGGATGGGATAGTAAACTTGAATTATATCAAGAAAAATTGAATATAAACCGTACGCTAATTAGTTTTATTAGATGTGCTCAATTTCTTATTGTGAAGTGTATTCAGTGCAGACATAATTTTTTTTACAGTTTATTGTATTTTTTACCTGCTCAACCTTAAACTAGACCTGACCTTTTAATAATTCCTTTTCAAAATCGTTAGATTCCCAAAACAAAGCCATACTTATATGCACACCGCTTATTTGTTTTACTCACGCATGCACAACACAATGAATTTAAACACAAATGTTGCATTTGATCAACTAAGCTCATATGCCAAAAACTATAGACCAACCATTCATTATTTCTATAGGGTTATGACGATATGCTACATAGAATAATTTCTGAGTAAAAATAAAACTTTATTAATCACAAATAAAACAACAAATATTAGTATTAAATTTTCAGAGTGCCAAATTTCTTTGGCAAGGACAATTATTAAAAATGATTGCATCTTGGAAAATAGAAATTTTGTTCAGGAAAACTTGGAGAAAAAACATTACATGTTTTAAGATAAGTTAAAAATGTGTAAAGAAAATCGTTTTACAACTGTAGGGTCACAATATTGGAGTAGAAGATAAATTCATTATTTTGCAGTTATGCAGAATGCACGCGGTTAACCAAAAGGTGCACGAGCACTAAAATGACATTTAACCACCACTTATTATCATATTCATCATACGTTCACATGTATATAGTTATTAATTGATTTTAAGTATACTGATATAAGTTATTATATGGTAAATATCTAATAACCGCATAATTTGGTTGTTAAACTCTCTGGCCTGACATGACATCTCGGTCCTGGCTCGATATGGTATACAGCGATAATTTGTGGCCTGACATGGCTTATACGTGGGCTCCAGTCAAACACACTTAAGGTCAAGGTGAGATGTAGATGTGATGTTCACCGTTTTCTTACAGGTAAATATTCTTCTCAAAATTGTTCAACAAAGTAGCCTCTTGATACTTTTCTTCTTTACGATTGAAATGGGCATCAGTAGTACCTATGATATCAAATCTAATCTAATAGACAGTATCGGACTGCACTGATTTTATGGTTTTGTACGGAGTATTTGGCACTTGACAAAGTTGACTTGTGTTGTTGCACTTTAAAGATAACATTTACAACAAAACGTATTTTCTATACTATTTAGTCTATTATTTTCATCATCTCATAAGTTCATCATCTGTATTCTACCTGTTGATCAATAGTGTGTGCGTATGTTATACTGCGCGTTGATAACAGACAAACATGACCACTTTTTGGGTATACTTTTGTAGTATACCCCCCCCCCCACCCCACCCTGTAACTTTCACTTTTCAAGCAGTTTTTTTACAGGGGTATATCACAAAAGTACCACTTTTTGCAGGTGGGCTAGCTATCACCATTGTAATACTTGAGAGAGAGTCTGAATGCACTGATCACTGGGACAGAACAAAAGAACTGTCTGAACCACAAACTCCAGTACCAGCAAAACCATGTTACCAGGAATAGCAGTGTTTGGGACTGGCTCCACTATACAGTGCTTGGTACCTGTACTGAAGGCTTGTGATTTCAAGGTAAATATATTGGGGTGGGGGTGGGGATTCCATACCAACTCCTCCAGCAAGGGCACCCTCCGTCAAGAAACTTGTTGATTTTCACATTTTTTATTTAAAATATTATAGGGACTAGGAAAATGCAAACTTTTAGTTTTAAATCTGAATTGATTTTAGACTTATGACAATCCAAAGTTGTACCTAGTATAGGACTTGACTGTTTTATCAGAAATATTCCCTTTTGCCATTGCTGAAATATCTTTTATAGCATAGTGCAGTAGCTAGCCCCTCATGCCATCCAATATTTTGCATAATTAACTTTCCTTCAGTCCTATGAGCAAACAGGGAGATAAACGTTATTTTCATTATACCATTATTTCACCTGTGGTGACACCTAGTCAGGGTGCTGCACAGAATGTTTATCTATTAGACAAGTTTTTGGTGGATAATGGCTTTAGAAAAATTTATGTTAAAACAAATAATTGAGCATATTTGGAGAGCGGGCCACTGTTCAGGTGCCTTGCAGTTATTAGAAGGGCTCTAGCATTGGCTTTAATTAGTGAGTGTTTTTAGATGTTCACTGTAGTCTGACACATTTTGTGAAAAATCTCATTTCAGGTAGAAGCAATCTGGGGGCGTACAAGGACAGAGGCTGACGAGGCAGCCAAAGTACTGGATATACCATTTAGTACTAACAAGGTGGATGAGGCTCTGTTGTGTAAGAATGTAGAGCTGGTAGTTATCAGCTGTTCTCCTCATCTCCAGTCCCCCATTGCTGTAAAGGCTTTAGGAATTGGTAAGGTTAATTAAAATATAGAAAGGAAAATAATAGTCCAAATTTCATTAAAAAAATGAAAAAAAAAAAAGAATTGTAAGTTTTATTTTCAGCCTTTAAGATGGGGTATAATATTTACCAAGGATGCACATAATTATGCCAGCCTATTATTGAATTCGGTTATTTCTATCAGTAATTGTAACATTTGCTCTGTTCATGACATATAGAACAGGAAATAGATAATAATTTAACAGAAAAGTTTGTTGGTTGAAAAAAATGCTTTCTTTCCAGCTGTATACAGTAATATAGAACTCATGTTAGACAGGTAGAGTATTATTCCAGATGTTGTTATAAATGTGTTCTGAAGCATCTTTCAATCTCTCCAGGTAAACATGTCCTGTGCTGTCCTCCTGCGGGTCTCAGTCAGCTACAAACCTACAAGATGGTCACAGCGGCCTGTTACTATCCCTCACTCATGGCTATAGTGGGGTACGGGCTACGATTTCTCCCTGCTCTTCAGAAAGCCAGGCAGTACATTGACGAGGGCTCCATTGGGGCTGTGACTGTCATCGAGGCACGGGTGCAGTGTGGGAGTTTATTAAACGAGAAATACGATTGGATGTGTGAAGAAGGCATGGGGGGAGGTGTGTTGAATACGTATGGTGGAGCTCTCATTGATTTGGTGACTTACCTCACACATCAGAAGGCAGAACATGTGAATGGAATGCTGAAGACTTATGTTGATAGGACTGCTGGGATACAGGGGGTACGGCAGATCACTAGCGATGATTTCTGCTCCTTTCAGATGGAGCTCAGTAATGGCGTCTCGGTCAGTATCAGCTTAAATTCCCACCTGCCCGGGACTTTCGTCCACGAGGTGTTGGTGTGTGGGACGGAGGGGAGGTTGGTGGTGAACGGATCCACTTTGCAGTTATTTAATAATAAAAGTGACAGAGGGGAAATCATCACACCTGAAAAACGGGAAATCATAAGTGAACCCATGCTGCGATTGCTGTTGAAAAACACCGACATTTCTGCTCCGTTTTTGGAAGGGCTTACTCAGCTGGTGGGTGTATTGCGTGATGCGTGTGCACGCACAGCAGACCGCCATGCGTGGTTGGAAGAGCCCGTTCATAGAGCAGCAACTTTTGAGGATGCATTATATGTCCAGACAGTAATCGATGCTATTCGCCAGTCTAGCAGGACACATGAGTGGGTGAAGGTCAAGGTCATGACAGAGGAGCCAGAGCCTAATCCACACCTTTCATCAGCTGTCCGAAGAAGTACATTTTCAGCATACTAAATTCTTTTGCAGTCTTGTGAGAAATATACTGTTAATGAATAATAATTACTTGATAAAAACTGAGACCAACATGCAGCTCTACAAAATTTGGATTAATTTTAGTGAATTATTGAAAATTGTAATGTGTACTAGTATTTAATGTAGCTGCCCTTGAACATTAAGTAATATTCTAGAGTGTAGTAATTCTCATTCCATGTAAACGAGAAATCCGATTTTTTTATTATTTGACTCATAAAGTGTAATTGTTGTTACTGAATGAAACATATAGGTGCATTGGATTATTTTGTGCATCAAATAAATGTTATTGTATTTCTTAATGGTTCTGTGTTGCAAATAATGCCTTGTTGAGAAAATTGCACTTTGTGTTTGCCGCAGGCCTAGTCCCGAATTTAGGCAGATTCCAATTTCGCTTAGGCCCAGTCCAAAAAGAGCATAATGCAACAGCATATTTACTGAATAACTTCATATGTTTACCAATTAACAGGTCTTGAATTGGAATAGGGTCCACATTTTTATCCTTCACCACAAAGACAAAAAAAAACAAGGCAGNTTGAAGCTGACGAGATACTCACTAAAATTTGGTTTCAAAGAATCATGCGTCCCCAACATCATATCTTCATGTCCCGTCGCCTTCCTGCGCTCATTTAGAAAATTCGCCACATCATCTATTTCATTCAAGACCTCCAAGTCACCTGTTTCGTCTGCTTCCTTGTACTTTTTCTGTATTTCTTCGTAAAGTTTGAACGTCATTTCTTTCACCATCATGTACATTCGGTTCAGCGGCATGTTTTCAAAATGCCGAATAAAATTTGTGTCCATATTTGTTTCCATTTTGGCTGCGAGAGACAACTTCCAAAAAAAGACGACCTCTAAACAGCATGGATCATTGCTAAATGTTAGTGTGTTTGATTGCTGCAACTATAGCAATTACTGACGACAACCACTTCAATATAATCAATTACAATCAATTATTAAGCGAACCCATAATCGAGCGAACCCTTAATTACCGTTATCGATTCTCCAATCTTCACGCCACCAACTGATTGTTATTTGTATTGTCCAATAACCATGTACGTGAAAGATCAATAAGGAAAATAACAAGAACGGCTGTACAGAATACATTATTTCATTGTCCAGAAAATCTCTTTTCAAATGTATTCACTCATTCCCAATATATAGGACCGTTTAAAACAACAGAGAAGTGAAAAAGGAAGCTAAAGATACATTCGCAAATTCTACTTTTTCTGTATCTCTGGTGACAGAAAGTGATAAATGAGTTTTGTGTAAATCATTTAAAATTTTAAAAATTCATGCCTTGCTTGTATACAAAATTTTCGTATTTAGTAACGAGTATCGTTAGTAACGAGTTTTAAAAATAACAACCCTTTTGGATATTATTCGCACGTTATTACTACTAACAAAATTTAAAGTGCGCTGAAGGGATGGTACGAGATATAAGTTCATTTTACTGGCATAGTTCGTCCTCAATCTCGAGTATTCTTTTCACAATGCCTGGTAACTAAGATTTTGCAAACTACTTTCTTTGAGAACGCAGTTATGCTGCGTTTCGTGTAAAACATTTGACTGTGCCCTGTCACCATATATCGTCTTGCTAAAAGTGGATGTAACTGAACTGAGGATTGTATTAATGGCTAACATATTGCAAAAACATCAAACAAAAAAAACTACCTACGCTATAAAGATGTTACGAAGGTTTTTTTTTAATTTTCAATAACCCAGAGACACCGCGAAAGTAGCCTCAATTTATTTATTCATAAACATTCTAGACGTTTTCTGAGACTTTAGACATCTTACTCGCTTCCTGACAAGTTGCAGATTTTCTAGATTTTCTACTTAGTAAAAAGACTACATCGATTGGAGAATGTGAGATGGTGCTGCGAGCGACAGTAACGAAAGTTTGAATTTAAGTTCATTTTAATCTAGTAATTATTATTTTTACTTTTGAAGTTGCTAGAATGATGTTAGTTAAGTTCCACTTGGACAAAATTCTTCCGGTCGCTATATCTTAATAAAATGCAAAAAAAAAAAAAAAAGAAAAAAAAAAGAAAAAAAAAACCCGGTAAATGGACCTGTATATTGAGAATGGTCATTCATGTTACATGAATGACCATTTACCTGTTAAAACTCCTTTCTGCATGTAGTTACTTCAAATAGTCACTATTACTTAATGTTCTCTCTGTTGCTATTTTAATATGATTCCAAAAAGAATTTATAACATACGACACATAGAAAACCTATCAGTCTGTTTGACAAAGTGCACGCAGGTGGGGAACCACTTAAATGAACAGATTACACTTTACAAATATCATCAACGTCGTATGGTTGAAAGGGGATATAAAAAAATCCTCACATTCAAATCGCAAAATCTATCAAATTTTAATAGTATACATAGCACTTGGACATTGTCCAGAATATTGATAATACAGTGTATTTTAGGCTGGTTCAAGGAAAGGTAACGACCAATTAAGCACCTGAGAGAAGGGTCAATAGAAACCTGAAGACGGGAACGGAGGGGGGAGGGCGAGATGGAGAGGCCGAGCTGGAGGGTAGCAGCGCAAGCATGGGACAGACCAAAGTGGGGGGACATCTGTGTCTCGCCCAAGCCCTTTACTCCATGAGAAGCAAGGATAATTGGCAAAAAGTTGACGCGCATCTATAAATACAAAGAAAACATGGGGAATGGGTGGAGCAAAGTGGTCTTTTTTGATAACCTGCACAAGCTTTTGGCGCAAAGGGAGGAGGGGTGTTATTTAAAAACAAGGCAGCAAAGCTGTCAAATGTACAGACAAAAAGCAAAAGAAAAGAAGAAAAATATGCTTCGTATAAGCTGTGTAATATCATGTTAAGGTTATTTCATTATTTTGGCTTTCTACTTTTTTACTTCTCACCCTAACCCCTGAACCCGTTAAAAGCCAAAAGTATACTTTTTATTTTGGTTATTAGAGACTCAGTCTTCTGATAAAATGTACAATGTCCTCTTCGTTGTATTCTTTTTGCTGATCTTTTTAAAAATAAAAGACCATTTGGGTAATTGTAGGAGATGTAGGATATCAAAACGTGACATTTTTTATTCTATATCCAACTAATTAAAGAAAATGAAAGAAGGAAAGAGAAATTGTAGTTTACCCAGCCATTTCAAAGGAGGGGGTCATTTCCTGGAAAAGTTGACCTTTTACCATGAAACCCCCGTGTTCGACCCCCTCTTTCCTGTTTATTAGCTAATTAAACAACACAAAAGATCACAGGAGCTGAGGGAGGTTACTCCCTACCTACCCCCCCCCCCCCCCCCCCCCCCCACACACACACCAAGCATATCATCTTTTCGTTATCCTTTCTCCTTGCAAAATCAAAGCAACCAAAAAAAATGGACAACTCCACATAAACGTTTATAGCAAAAATGTATTACCACTTTATCTTTATTGTCATCATCTGTGAAACAAGATATGAAATGAAAGTTTCTTCAAAGGGCAGTGTGGATCAGTGTATATTGTAGATAAGTGTTCCAGTGTACGCGGACAAGGTCGTTCAATGATGGCCTGGGGCAGGTTAGTAAACTTCAAGTTGATATCATGTCAACAAGATGCAAGGACACTGTCAATCATAATTAGGGGAGAGGCATGCGTGTTTTCCCTTCAAAAACTACTATAGCCTAACATTGATTCTTCCCTCCGAAGTAAATGTGTGATATTTTCTTTTTAAACAAAAAAGTTAAGGTATGAACACGCTAAATGTATTTCATCGTAGGTGTATATACAATACAATAATGAAATCTGTGTCTCACTCTCACACGACACCCCCACGTCCAAACTGACAGGATGGTGGCGACAGCAACGCCCCCAGTCGACAATCTAAGATTGGAAGTCTAAGAGCGGGCAATTGTGAAGCGGGATGGACATATTGCGTTGCACTCCAGAGGAGAACAAAGGACGCGAAGTGAGAGCGATATTCTCCGGGGAACCGCCATCAAATTTCATGTGATCCTACGCCAATGCATCGCACTTGAGGATAGTTTCTTTACTAGCTGGAAACACCGAATGTTTCGTATTTTCTCCCCGCTGTGTGCTTCTGTGAATTCGACTCTTCAATCCATGTGGACTAGTCGCTCTGGGAAATGTACATCGAATAACCAACGCAGAAAAATTAATCGTAAATGAACTGAAATCCAAGCTACTGGCGAAGCTTCACACGTCGATAGAAGTGAAGGTCAGTAAAATTTCTTTTTTTTTTTTTTTTTTTTTTTGAGGGGGGGGGGAGGGGAGAGGTGGGGGTGTAGGTAAATTGAAAAAGATCTAATTTCATTCTTATTTCTTTTTACAGAACATAGAAGATGATGAGTGCTACCATCTAACATAGACTACTCTTCGGATCAACAATTTAAGGTTAGTAAATTTCATTTTTGGAAGGGATAGGTAAATTGAAAAAAAATCTAATCTAGTTTTATTTCTTTTTACAGGACATAGAAGGTGATGAGCAACGCTACACAGACATTGACTTCACACGTCGATATAAATGTTAAGGTTAGTAAACTTTCTGATTTTTTTTTGGGGGGGGGACGGGGGTGTAGGAAAATTGAAAAAAGATCTAATCTCATTCTTTTTTCTTTTTACAGGACATAGATGATGAGTGCCTACCGTCGAACATTGAATATTCTTTGGTTCAACAATTTAAGGTTAGTAAATTTCATTTTTGGAGGAGATAGGAAAATTGAAAAAAATCTCATCTAGTTTTATTTCTTTTTACAGGACATAGAAGGTGATGAGCAACTCTACACAGACATTGACTTCACACGTCGATAGAAGTTAAGGTCAGTAAAATTTATTATTTATTTATTTATTTATTTATTTATTTATTTTTGAGGGGGGGGAGGGGAGAGGTGGGGGTGTAGGTAAATTGAAAAAGATCTAATCTCATTCTTCTTTCTTTTTACAGGACATAGAAGATGATGATGAGTGCCTACCATCGAACATAGACTACTCTTCGGATCAACAATTTAAGGTTAGTAAATTCTATTTTTTTGGAGGGGATAGGAAAATTGAAAAAAAAAATCTTACCTAGTTTTATTTCTTTTTACAGGACATAGAAGATGATGAGCAACTCTAACCAGACATTGACTTCATACGTAGATAGAAGNGTTTTTTTTTGAGGGGGGGGGGAGGGGAGAGGTGGGGGTGTAGGTAAATTGAAAAAGATCTAATTTCATTCTTATTTCTTTTTACAGAACATAGAAGATGATGAGTGCTACCATCTAACATAGACTACTCTTCGGATCAACAATTTAAGGTTAGTAAATTT